CCCTGTACATTTCTACCATCATACAAGTATTATTAATTTCTCTTCGATGCAACACTCCTTGTAGGAATTATCTTTACTCTCTACTTCCTCTCCTCCAAGCTCCACTGACCCTTTTGCAATGACCCTCTTGCTCTCCACATTCCCCCAAGTATCTCTCATTGAAGTCACTGTTGACCTTTATACTGCTAAATCAAATGGCCACTCGGCAGTTCTCATTGGAGACAATTTATTAGCAGTCTTTGGGACAAATGATCTCCCGCTCTTCTGTGAATCAGCTGGGTTTGCTTGGGAACATTAGCCTCTTCTGGTTCATGCGCTCCCTGGTTGCCTGATTCCGCTTAGTGTTACTTTCCGAATCATTTTCATCTTCCTAGCTTCTGAGTACTGGAATGCTCCAGGGCTCAAATTGCAGACTTCAATTTCCCATCTATGTTAATCTTTCTGGTTGTTCTGATGAGATTCCATGGCTCTCAATCTCAGCTGAGCAGATGTGAGTCTCAGATTTCTACCTCCAGCTCTGACTTGTAGATTTTCCCTCTGAAACTGATTTACATACTATCTTACTTAGCTCACTCCACATTTCTATATTTTGATGCCAAACAGGTTCCTTTAACTTAGCAGACCCAAAACTGAACTTTGGAATTCCCTCTCCTGCCCAACACAGTTCCTTCCTCCCATGCCCTGTCTGCTACCGGAAATAGCAACTGTGCTCCACCAGGCACTGGATTCCCCGAGCTACGTTATCTGTGACTCCACTTTCTCCTACACACCATATCCAGGCCTTCAGCAAATCCTGTCAAGTCTATTTCCATATATACATCCTCAGTCTAATCTCTTTTCTCCACCTTCACTGCTCCCATGCTGTTATGCCATCATTATAGCCTAGCAGAATTTGCAATCATTTCTTTTTTGCTATATTTTACTACTGCATGTTAATATTATGTGATGTTGGAGCTTATTTTGGAAAGTTGATTCATGCATTTAAACTATCTTAGCCCATTTCAATTCCATCTCTCCCTTTTCCTTTTCTTTTTTACTCTACTTCTCCCCATCCTTGTCAGAAGTCTACCTCCTGGTTTCCCATCCTCTCCTCTTTATTTTAATGACTTATTAATTTATTTTTAAATTTCTCATATATGAGAAAACATGCAATATTTACCTTTCTGAATCTGCTTAATTTCACTTAACCTGATGGTTTCTAATTCCATCCACTTTCCTGCAAATGCATGATTTCATCCTTTAGTGCTAATATTCTATTGTGTGTACATACCACAGTTTCTTTATCCATTCATGTGTCAGCGGACATCTAGGGCAATAATTTCTTAGTCACCCTATAAAACATTCTTTCCCTATTGCAGACTAATTAACATAATGTAACCAAAGATGCCTTTAAAGTAGAAGTCAGAATACACTTTCCTGTCTCACCGTGCTTCTGATAGTTTTCTGTCTCATCCAGATGGACACCTGAAGCTCTCATTTCTTGCAACCCACATGCCTGGCCCCATTCTACTTCCAACCCTCAGACAGTTGCCCAGTCTACTGTAGCCCTGCTCTCTTTTCCTCCTCAGTTTCCCTGGGGATCTCCATCTCAGTCTTTGCATGTGTACTTTCTGCGGCCAGAGAGTCTTTCTTCAGATTGCTCCACCGCTCCTCTTTCCCCTTATTCAGCTCTCTGCTTCAATTTTATTTTTCTGAAAGGCTAATGTTTTGCTCTTGATCTCCTATCCTGCTTTTGTCTTATGCTTCCCATCACACAGCAACAATAGAACATGGTTTAATTCTATTTGTATGTTAGCGTCTTACTCCTCCCTCTTCAGTCCCAAATTGTAAACAACCATGAAAGCAACTTGATTAGCTTGGTCCAAAACCCAGAATTCCTTGAACAGAGTTGGTGTTTAATAAATATGTGAATCAGTTAATAAGTACATGAAGATGGGGTTCGGGTAAAGAGGAGTGAAACTCTATCTGGAAACTCTGAGATCACCTGCAAAGCCAGTCATCTGTGTGTGCCCGGGATGAGACTCACAGCATGCAATGCAAGCTCAGAATGGACAGAGAAGAACAAGAGGGGGCCCTGGTTCCCAGTGCTCTGGCTGCTACCTACAGAAGACTGTATGGTGCAGCGTGGGTCAGCCTGGTCCCTGTGTGCACTCTTAGCCCGAATTCCTCCTGCATACAGGAAGCACATCCACCGAGGGCACATGAGGTGAGAATTAAAAAGGCTGGCAATGAGCTGGAAATTAAATTAGTGGCATTCTCCTTGCTTTATGTTCCAATAAAGAAAGGAGGTTAGGCTGGAGCTAAAAGAAGTCATTTCAAGTCATTTGAAATTTTTATTCTAATTCTAGATTTAACTCTAACTAATTTTCTAGAGAGACTATGTATACCTATAATCACCTTCTTTCCTAAACCCAAACCTAGAATATATACTTTGACAAATATAAATTTACTTCAGGGAACACTGGGACAAAGTCTAAAAATTGGCCCTGGCATTAAAAATGTAGGCTATTTATTCACAGTGTATACGTCTCTGAAATGGCGTTAAAATATTAACTGGATGAGTGGCCCGAGAGCAGAGCAGGGAGTGAGTGGGGAGGGTAGACAGGGGCTAAGGCAAGGCAGCTGTGCTGGTTCAGTTTGTGCTAATGAGGGTGAAGGGTTCCAGTCCTGGCACACGGCATAGCACACGTTCACCCCCTCAGCAACATCTTCATAGGAATGGAGGATTGAAACAGGTTAACACAAAGAGCTTCCTTTACATCGAGCTGACTTTATGTAGCTTATCATGACACAGATGCCAATTCACCAAAGGACTGGTCTCAACCGTGTCACGGGTACCACCTGCAGTTACGGCAGACACACATTTTTCAAGCTCAATTTGTTTGTGTTTTTCATCACATTCTGTCTCCCTGTCTTCACTGAGCTTGTGTGTCTGAGGCTCTGAGTGCAAGGCTTTGGTTTTTTCCTAATGTCTTTGTTTCTTTCAGATTAGAAGGCAACAAAAGAATTTAGAGATTAGAGGTTTGAGGCTAATATACACCCTAACAATTTTTATAAAGAAATGATCAAATTCTAACTTCAATAAAACCATGAAATGAATACAATTCATTTAAATTCAAAATGTCAGGGTGAGCAGTCCATAGTCTCCATTTTGTATATGAAGAGCTGAGCAAAGGAACAATACACAACTGCTCAGTGCAACACAAAGTTGCAATAAAAACTGAGATTAAAACCCAGGCTTTCTAACCCTGGGAGCGTTCCTTCTACCTCACCAGTTCTCAGGCTCCTGATCTTTACTACTGGAACCATTTTGTAGACAAAACAAAGCACAAAACAAACTCCCTGTTGGTAGATCAAAAATCTTAAGGATCTTTCATTGTGATGATTTCAGGACGTAACAGAAACGTTCCTTTCAGAATGGCAGGCACACTGAGGAGTAACCATGAGTCAGGCTTCCTACCCTGTCCAGGGTGGACTATGGATTGTAAAGGGCCGTGGGAGAGGAGCAAAGTGCGTGTTGCAGGGTCAGGGATTTTTTATTCACTGTGGTGTTAGGTGTTCTTGTTCTTTGTTTATAGAGTAAGAACAACACTGTGACCTGTGGAGGCAGTGTATCAACCCAGCACTGGTAGAGTAGTGTTTTTACTAATTTGCACAGAATATATAATTCTTTTCCTGAAAAATCTGCCCTTTACTTCATTAGTTTTAGAAGGATCCCCAATGGGCTCCTAGAGTTCAGTATGTGAACCTTGAGAAACCACATTTCCTTTGTGATCACACTGCAATTCTTACAACTCTTATCATCTCAAGTTATGAGTCTGAATCTAAAAAACATAACAAGTATAAATGGTTCAAATCCTGTCTCCTCTTTTCAGGCTTGTGCCACTGCACCCAGCTGACAAAAATTAACTTAATAATTGGGCCACGATGTTTCAGAGAAAGAAGCCTACCCCAGCACCCACTGGACAAACCCTCTCTGTGCTTTCATTCCCCAAAATGTTTGAGAAGGTGATTAAAAGAGAGGGGAGGGGGCCTGCATCACCTAGACTCTTCTGACCACAGGCCAGCATCTTTTCTTCATTTAATAATAAAAACTAATTTACAACTAATGTGAAGCTGAGCAGTCACGGTGATTACCGAAACTCCCTTGCTTGTTTCTGCTCACCACCTGCTCATTTCCAAGTCAGCAAATGGCTCTCACACCACACCACACAGCACCTCTGAAGCACCATTGATGTCAGCATGACCTCCTCCATGTCCCTGCTGAGTCCTCACTCACTTCTGTTCTCAGACTTCATCTTCTGTTTCACAAGAACACACACACACAGGACACATACACAGTCTTTATGTATTCTTGGGAGGTCATTGATGTACGACTGGGAGAAAATCCACAAGAGTGAGTAATTTTCACCGGGGATGATCATGAGCTATTTTCCTGAGAGGTGAATAAAATTGGAGGTTATATGTAAGTGGCAGCAGGGAGATTGCACCTCACGTAGAAGCAGGGGAATGGAGAGCATCCCGTGCAAAAGCTTTGAGATGAAACATTCAGGGCAGACTTGGGAAGTTCTTTGAGACCAGGATATATCAAGGGTTCTAAGAAATGGCTTCCCAGGACAATCGTTCTTCACTGCCACCAATGAGGGTGCCATTAATATGAGACACCAAGTTATATTTGAAACAGGTCTGGTATCTCCTCAATTCTGTCTCCCATGGTCCCTGGCCTACAATTTTTGAGGAAACTGTGTAAAGAACTCCAATGTTGTATAAATTTAAAATCATTTGCCAGAGTTAAATGAAAGGGGAAAATGGTGTGGTCTTTCCATAATTCCCGGAAAGGCACAATATGGCAAAACAGACACAGTCCCAAGAAACATTTTACATCATCACACAGACATGCCAGTGCAAAATTAAAACCAATTTCCACCTGAGAATTCAAGAAATATACTACCTTGCCCCCAAACTGCAAGAATCCGATTACCACAAGGATGGATAGTTACCCATGGCGAAGAACGGGATTCCCAGCAGGGTGGAGTTGTACTTCCCGTCCGTGATGAAGAAGATCCCGGCTGCCGTGACCAGGGAGATGCACACGGTGAGCACCCCCAGCAGGCCCAGGAAGGGCTTGCTGCGCAAACAGTCCTTCATGGAGCTGGACAGCGTGGCTGTGGTCAGGATTAACACGAGGCTCACCAGCACCTTGCTTCTGGCGAGGATGCTGGTCTTATGGAAGTCTCTCCAGAGGCTGAAGGATGCGAGAGGGTAGAGCTGGAGGTCTTGGTGCTCCTCCTGGAGCTTCCTCACGAGCTTACAGAACTCATTCTCCCACTTCTCCCCTATGAGGTCTTGGGTGGCAGAGCTATAGGTCTGGAGGTAGTAGGTGATTTGAATGGCTCTGGCAGACTTGACCCGCTGGTCTTTGCTGTTGGGCACTTCCACTACCCCGCCCAGCTGATGTCCAATGAAACTGTTCCTCCCATCCTTGAAAACATGAAAAGGGGAGACTTAAGTTACCAGAAGGATGCACATTCCAGGAGCAGTTTCTTACTCTAAGTAAAGGAGCACAAGAAAGGCAAAGGTGGATGCCAGAAACTCAGAACTGATGTGGGTGGAGAGGCAAATCAGGAGTTCATATAATCAACCTGGCACAGCAATATGGGTCACCATGTATGATAATCTGGGTTAGAAAAGGTGCAAAGAGTACCAAAGAGCTACACGAGACTCACCGCATGCATAGGCAAACGTTCACAACTATTTTGTGTTCTCCAAACACCCTCACTGCAACCATTTCCTTCTGTACCAATCTATTACAGCTCTTAAATACAGGTCAAGCTTATGATTCAGGGAAGCATGGTGTGACCTAACATCACTTCAAAAATTAAAGTGACTAACTGGATAAAGAAGATGTGGTTTTTTAAAAAAAAATAAAATGGAGTACTACTCAGCCATAAAGAATGAGAAACTAGAGACATTTATAGCTAAATGGATGCACACTGAGGCCACACTCTTAAGTGAAATAAATAGGACACTCATGTGTAAATACTGAATAGTTTCTCTAGTGTAAGAACCTGAAAGTGTAAATAAGGATTAAAATGATTAAAATGAATAATTGATAATTTGAAATAGGAAGAAAAGGTCCAAAGGGGTAGGGGAAGTGGGAGGGGAAGGGGAAAGGAAAAATTATAAGAAAAGGAAAAAATGGAAATGAAGTCTATGTAAATAGGGAAGGGTGGAGAGGGTGAGGGGCCCACAGGTAATGGGGAAAAAATAAGAACCAAGATACATCATGTACAGGTACAAGCACCCAATGATAAATGTAAATGTATTGCATACCTAAAATGTACCATTAAAGAATTTAAGGAAAAAAATTAAAATGACTAAATAATTCTTTTCTATAAATGTATGTTAAACTTTCTGGACAGAGCAGTGGACAAGGGTAACTGCAGGGGGAGTTTCATGGGACCATCAGGCATATGGTAAATACATGAAGTAATTGTGGGCTTGCTTAATCCAGACACCTAAGTCTGAGGTATTTATATTTGTTTCTTTTTTTCCCATTAAGTAAGTTTATTGGTACATTTTAGGTATACAATACAGTTACATTCATCACTGGGAGCTTGTACCTTTACATGATGTAAGTGATGTATCTTGGTTCTTATTTTTTTTCCCATTCCCCTGCCCTCCCTACAATCTCTGCCCTTCCCTATTTACAAAGACTTTTGTTTCTATTTTTTTCTTTTCTCATATTTTTACCTTTCCATTCTTTTCTTTCCCCTACCTCTCTCACTTCCCCTACCCCCTTAGACCTTTTCTTCCTATTTCACATTATCAATTATACATTTTGATCCTTAGTTACATTTTTACTTTCTCACACCACAGAAACTATATGTATTCTTGATATCCACCAAAGCATCCTAATATTTGAATGTGTTGCAAATACAAAAAAGTTTAAAGTTTATGGAGAGTGCAAATGCTGTTACTAGAATCATCAAGAATTGAAAAAAAGAAATTTTATGCCCTAATACTCATTTGTCTCTAGATGTTAAATAATTGCAGTCATTCTAATTAACTCAACCTGACCAATTGCCAATGAACAATATCTTTCTTAAGAAGAATCTGATTTAAGGATCCTCCCCCCTTGATGTTACCCTCCACTTTCATGGGATCTTTGTAATCTCATCTCTCTTATAAAAATCAAACAAAGTTTGGTTCCACGTTCCCAGTGTTCTCTCTTACTGAAGCCCTGAGGATGCTCCAATGAGCTCCCAAGGGAAGGAGGTACACTTTGGGGAGGAGGTGGGAATCCTGCCCAGAGCTGAGAGAGAGAGATCGTGCAGTACACATTGTTCTTGACCAGTGGACCCACACTGCTCCCTCCTCAGGCTTGTTTATTTTTATTTGAAGCTTGGTATAATTTTTGTCTCTTCCTCTCCCCCTCTGCTCCACCTCTTCTGGGCTCTGTTCCTATTCTTTGAACATCGAGTTGATTTCCATCTCAAGGTCTCTGAGTCTGTGGCTCCTTCTGCTGGAATAATTTCCTACACTCTTCTATGGCCAGCACCACTTCCTTCCATGGAGGTCTCAGCTTTAAAGAAACCATTGGCACCATACAATCTAAACCAGACCACTGCTTCCCTGCAACCTTTCTACTTCTCAGTTCTATTTTGTGTTCTCCTTGTTAATGATTTTTTATCTGAAATGGTCTTACTTAATAATTTAACCACTTCTCTTTGTCTTTGCTGGAACATGCAGTGCAGAGGACCGTACTATTGATTACGCCCAAAGCAGGCTGTGAAGAGTTAACCCCACAATTGGCTTGTTTATAGAAATGAGTTCGGCTGAAGCCTACGTGCCAAGGTCAGAGTCACTTGCACCCAAATTCTGTTCCCACGACTAAAACCTCCTGACTAGAAGACCATGTTCTAATTACAACCATATATTTTGTCTATTCTGTTCCTAGTTTGAGAATGCTTTCTCTTGTCCTTTCTGAGCCTTGTTTACATTAATTTCCATAGAAACCACACATCACCTTTACCCCAATTGATTGCCAATAAAAGTCAGTGCCTAGGACTGACCAGAGCCTTTGTCGGTTATACCAGAGTTGGTCATCCTGGCACCCACTTTCTCTCTCTTAGTTGTGTCTCTTAGTGTATTTTTTTCTCAGGCCTGCATCACACACTGGGCAGGTGGGGGTTAGAGACTGCAGTATTGAGAGCCAGCCTTCCCTGTTTTGCTAATAACTTCCCTGTATGGTACCTGGAACAAGCCTGCTCTATAATAAACACTTCATCTTTGTTAGCTGAGTGAATTACCTTAAATGTAAATTACTAATCATTGGTGTTTTTAAGGGACAGCTTCACTAAGATCAGGAAATGTAAGACATACGTTTACCTATTTTTCAATCTGCTTAGTCTCATGTAACATTTCCCCAAAACATGTTCCTGTTCCATTTTCACCATGTACCAGACATGTGCAGCAAGGCATTTGACAGAGGGGGACACGGGATGTGATGGAGAAAGGAAGTGCATTGCTCGTGGCCCCAGGACCTAGCATGGGAGATGAGGTTCACGGAGCTAAGGGGAGGGCTGGGGCGTGGGGCTGAGGGGGGTGGGGCTGTTCAGGAACAAGAATGCCCTGGTAAGTTCTGGGGCTTCTTTGTCCTCAACACAAAAATCACTGGTGGGCTCAGGGGAGAAATACTTGATTTCCTTTTTGGAGTGCTTGCTCACATTGAACTGGGAAAACAGATTTAGGGAGAAGGGGTCCCTCCAAAATAAAGGGCTTCGTGAGAAAGCCCCTGCAGTATTTCAGGTTCTTGATGCAGCATAAGAAACTGTCAGAGCGGCAGTCTCTGGTAGGCAAATTGTTTCAAGGTGAATCAATAAAACTGCAGGTCATGATGCTATCTCATGGCCATAAAGCATCTCACTATGTTTTCGCTCCAGCAGTAGTAATGCTGCAAAAACAGTCTTGGGTTCTCCAGCTTTTATTTAGTCTGAGGTTACTATTTTGTGTCATTACTTTGTAGCTTTTACAGTTACTCTCATCCAGTCCACACCTAAACAGTGAAAAGAAAATTAAACTCTCAGAGATAAGATCAAAGAATAAAATTTTAAAGATAGGAGAGGATGGATACATTAATATAATGGATAACTGTGCAGAAAAAAATTGCCTGATGATGCTTGACATTATAAGATGCAAGTCTAATATCTGCTCAATATAGAGGCTAGATTAAAATTTGGGTATTTTTCTATGGCTGCAAGACATTTGGCAGCACAGCTATCCAAGGCAATTGTAATTCGGATTTCATTGATTTTCTGTGAGGTAGGTACTACAAGGATATCGGGAACTTTTATTTTTTTTATTTTTATTTATTTATTTATTTTGGTACCGGGGATCAAACTTGGGTCCTTGCTCTTGTGCAGCAGGCGGTGAAACCACTGAGCTAAGTCCCCAGCCCTTATTGGGAACTTTTAGATGGTCAGTTGTCTTTTATTACTGAAAAATAAAATGTTTTCTGTATAACAGATGGTGACATTTCTAAAGGAACAGTAAAGTTTTGTTTGTTTGAACAAGATTTTTCGTTGTATTTGTTTCCTAACTGACATCTCTTTGTTTCATTCCCAGTGTTGGGCAGATACACAAACTAGGATTAAATGCAACCATCAGTTTTCTTGATTTTTTATCCCAGGGTTTTTTATGTAGTAGAAATAACCAAATAATGAAAAAGCAAGTTCCTACATGGTATTCATTTAAAACAAATCAGAATTCATTTTCAAAATGAAGACTTTAAAGCATTAAAATGCCCTTAAATAAAGTATGAATTGAATTTCTTTTGTCATATTACTAAGCTGGGAAAGTGTGGTGGTATATTTCAGAGGGTTTTTTCCCAAAGAGAATGGTTAAAAAACACAAAGCTTCTGTGCTACTGAAATGAAATAAAAACTTTCGTCAACCAGAATATGAAATGAGCTTAACAAAGCACTTCAGCAAATCAATGAACTGAGACGTGGTTGGACTTTTTTTTTTTTTTTTTAACATATATGGCCAGCTGGGTGCCAAGACTTGGCAAGATGCCAAGGGAGCACTGAGAAGGAGTCACCTTCTTATGAGGGGCTAAGAAGGCCCTGGAGCATGAGTCCAGGGTTATTCAAGGGAAGAGGAGGGCTTGGTGGGTGCACAGGAAGAGGAAGGGTCCCCGGAAGGGAATACCTTGCACAGGCCTGGCTGAGAGAGTGGATGTGTTGTCCTCCTGGGACTTTGAGCATAAGTGGAGACTAGTGTTTCGGGTGGTGTTGGTGTAGGGATTGGAATGGGTCTTGTGTGTGAAGATTCATTTATTCAAAAGTGCTCTTTGGCTGTAGTGTGAAAACTGAACTTCTGGTAGACCTTGAGGATGGAAATGGGCGCTAGAGAAGGGCATGCCACATACATATATACATATATATATATATACAGACATATATTCACATATATGTACA